TAAATATGTAGTATCAAATCAATTAAAAAATTACCTGCCCGTAACAAATGCCTTGATCAGAAGCGTAATCAAATAATTCATCAGAATTCATACGAACAGACACATTACTATACCAAGGTCTGCCATAATAACTGTTAGTAGTACGCATTATTGCACCATTTTCTATTATAACTGATCTGTATATTGTCACTTGGCTTTCATTTGCAATACTTTCGTGATCCATATACAGATTTAAACATTCCAAAAAATTGTCAAATCCAGATCTCATTTTGTGGTCTATATTAGTCTGTTCTACAAAAAAATCATGGGCATCTTTTAATAGAAATTCGAAAAGTATTGCTGTAAATTTAAATATACGAGTGATAGTAGCTGAATTTGGTAATCGATGGGTTATATTTGTTATTGATTGTCGCCGAATCTATAAAAATTAATTTTTTTTAGAAATTTAACATAGTATTGTGTATTTTATATAAATAATACTTGCTATTTTCATTATTTGAACTTCAATATTTTTTTATTACTTAATCGGTAGGAATTCTTAACGTATTCTTTGTGAAGGCTTTCGTAAGTCTCCGTAGTGTATCCATTAACTGCGCCAAATGATCGAATCGAATCAATTATATGATATGCCCACGAATGCAGTTTTGGTAATTTTAACTCTGAGGGGACATACATTGGAGAATTTTGATGAACATTTGAGACCAATTGTTTATAGATTCCTGAAATTATAATTTTAAGTATTAGTGGACACTGGTAAAAAAATGATTTATCCTACACATATCTTACACATATTGGGTACTCAAAATGTAGAAAATCATACACAAATAATACACATATCATACATATATCGGGTACTAATATATATATCATACATATATCAGGTACCTGATAGGTATACTATATATACAGTATAAATACCCGATATGTGTATGATATGTGTATTATTTGTGTATGATTTTCTACATTTTGAGTACCCGATATATGTAAGATATGTGTAGGATATGTATAGGATAGACCATTTTTTTACCAGTGGGACAGCGTTGTTTTATAATAATTATGTAGTACATACCCTAAATTTGACCAAATCACTGTCTTTGAAATTTTCATATCAACTAATTGCATACATTTCATTCCAAGCTTCGTAAAGTTTTGCCAGATCTTCATTCTTTACAAAATTTTCATCATCCTCATTATTTACAAACAAATTGTCCACTACAAAAACCATTACTTTCATCAGATTGCGATACTCATTAGCTGTTAACCTGGCTATTGATTGTATGCTATTTGTAAAGATCTTCAAACCGGAAAATCTTGGTATTGCGGCTAATTGATGATCTACTTCATCAACTAAAGTTTTGCCATATTGCGCCCCTAAAAGTTTTTTCGTATAATCGATTTGATAATGAAAGAGGCCTAAATCGAGATGATGCATTCTATCAGGCACTGTGGCTTGATAGATATTTATATTACTTAATATAAATTAATAAAAATAAACTTATGTTAGTGTAATGCTTGTAATGCTTATGTGCATTTAAACAATTTGCATACACTTTATCACGTGTACATGTATAAATAAATGTCGATCCTATTCTATATGCGCTAACACGTGATAGTTTTACAATTGTGTTACATTAGAAAGTGTACGCAAATTGTTTGAATGCTGCTTACGTGATTTGGCGAAATGGCTGGATGCCTAACAAATATTATGTAAACTTACGGCAGATTCCAAAAAAAATTAGATATATTTTCAATGCAAACGGAATTTCCCGAGTTTTGATTAAAATACTGCTGCATATTAACATAAGTTCGTGGTGTTATATCATCAATTTGTAAATTAAGATCAGCAAGATTGTCTCTTGTGACTAGACAAAAATGACAAGGATGTTTTGACATTGGTGATTTGTATGTAAGACAGTATGTTGCAGCTTCTGGCCAGTCACATATTATAGCTGAAACTCTAGGATAAAACCAAATCATTTCGTTATTTAAAAATAAATCAATGCCATTTTTATTTAATTTTAATAAAGGGTCTAGTAACAATTCCAAAGATTTATGGAAGCATTCGCGAACAGCAATCTTAAATGTTTCAGACTTCCTTTCAGTAATATTATTAGATTTTAAAATCAGCAGATACGCTAATAATTGCTTTGCATCTTTCTTATTACACCTCCAATTTTTAATATTACCAATAGACAAGTAAATGGAATGGAGTTGACTTTTTTCTAGTGTGTCAACATTTGTAGCGTTAGAATATAATATTAAAGATAAAAGCTTGGCTCCAGGTGGCAGGGATTTTTCCGCATTTTTCCACCATATCCCAGTATTTTGTTCACTAAACTTCCTTTCACCGTTATGCTTTAAGTTTATATGAAGATTAGTAAATATCCTATAATATTAAGTTGTATATTTCATACGAAAGTATAAAATAATTACCTCAACTTTCTCAAAAGTTAACGCAAAATTTTGTGATATGTCCGAAATTGACAAAATATTTTTTATACAGTTTATTAAATACTGATGATAAAGAAAATACTCATTATTATTATAATTCATTATACTAGTTTTAGTATAATTTAAATTTGGTAGTTTCATATTATCCATATATTTGCGGCCTTGTTCGATAGATCTTAGAAGAGGTGATTTATCTAAATTTGCATGTTTATTAAAGAATTTAATTATAGCATTTCCTGTCGCATTGTTAAGTTTATGTTTCGTAACTAATGCCATTAAATCACCATATGCTTCACTTGGGTAATTAACATTAATTTCTGGTTTGGATTCTTTTTCATTCAATTCTGAATCAGAATCTTCCAAGATATTTTCAAAGACTTTTTCATTTTCATCGTGGTCTATTTCTTCTATATTTTGATCAATTTCACCAACCTCTGAAATTGACATCATACTTTGAATACTCTGATTATTTATTTCTGAGTCTGTACTTTTATTATCAGAAAGATCTTCGCATGAATCACGGACCATCTATAAAATTAATTATGTTAAAAAAGAAATTCAAAAAATTTTATAATTTCCTATTTTCTTTACCTCGATATCATGATTATTAGTTTTATGTTCAAATTCTTCTAATTCTTCACTATCGCTACTATCGTTATTAGGTGAAGTACAAAAATTCTTATGTTGAGTGTATGCAGACCTTGTGCTGAAGTACCTTGGACAAAAATGTCATTTATATGACATTTTTAAGAGTATTTTATTTACTTGAATTTAAACTTTACAAATTAATTAAAAAATTATTTGCTCATTTATGTCAATTTATAAACGTTTACATAATGGTGTAGTTAGCCAAAAAATAATTAGCCACAACATGATCCGGCTCAGGCGTATATCATTGTGAAAAGTTTACCTCTTTTTAAATTTTTCTACGAAAAGTGGCGTATTTCGATAATCATAAAGTGAGTTTTGGGCGAAGCTATATTTTAAATTTGAAACGTTTCGCCAAGCCTCGTCTAATATAAGCCAAAATCTCTAAAATCCTATTTTTGAAACTGTATAGATCAGATCATGTTAATGGAAACATAAGCCAGTTCAAAAATTGGTTTTCCCCTGATCGATTTTAATTTTATAATAAATATAATAAACATAAGCTATTATGGATATATAACCAACCCGATCAATCAAAAATTGTGCTCAATTGTAACTGTGATCTGGTTGGTTATACATTTTTTCAGTCAATAGTTGTGCATCAAAAGACCACAAGCATTTTTCTATATATTTATCAATTAATAAGCTTAGAAAAATTTCGTTATAATCATGCACAGCTTATTATTTTATAAAATCTGAATATTTATTGCGAGATATTTCGGATCT